CCAATTCCAAGAAATATTATATTTTCTACTACAGAAGCTTGCACAGGGTTTTTGCGCTCTTGGTACACGTGCATTTGATGTTGTGAAAGGTGATGGATTTAAAAATTTAGCAAAAACTTTATTTGGTGTTGGTCGAGGCAGCAATACATCATCAATTGAAATAACAGCTCTTCTTCCACACCCGACCACCGTAAGAATAGTAAAATATATTTAATAAATTGATTATACTGTTATATCTTATATGTTTGTAGATCAGCAGGAATATTACTCGACTTTATGAAGAATATAAGATTCAGTTAATTGATATTTGTGAACAATTAACAAGTTTTTGTTTGATAGTCGATCAGTGCACTGAAGCTCATACCGGTTAGAACATTAAATATTTTGTTTATGCATGAAGACAGCTACAATCTGAGTGTTTTTTTGTACATGCATTGAGATATTAGTTACTGTGGCATACCTTTACGATACGTTGGAGAATATTCTCAATTATTTACGTTTATCATTGGTTGTTTTCCATACAATGCAGTTAGTCATTCAGCACAACATCTTCGAGAATTTGTTAATAAAATATTAGAAGAATATAAACTACAACTGGATTCAACAAAATTTGTTGTTTCAGATAATGAGCCAAAAATGTTGCCAGCATTTCGGGAACAATGTTCTCGCGTTGGTTGTGCTGATCACTATTTGAATAAACAGTTACAACATGCTTTTCAATCAGATCAAATTCATTGAAATAAAAATACAATTGTAAAAGTTGATTGTGAATTAGTTCAAAATATTTTTAATCAAGTTAAAAAAGTGGTTTCTTCTGTAAGACATTCACATCAACAACAAAAATTTCCTCAAAAATTTCAAACGTATTCTGAAACTCGTTTTGGTGGTGCTATAATTATTCTAGATATTTTTCGAGAGGTTTTTTTTTGAATTACCAGAAGTATTAATTAATAGAAAAACTTTGAATGATTATAGTTTGATTGAAAAAGAACTACTCGATGATATTTGCAACTATCTTGAAGCTTTTCAGGAGGTATTTGATGCTCTTAGTGACGATCAACAACCGAGTCTTCATCGAGTAATTCCACTTAGACAACATTTGATGAATAAATGTGAAGTAAAAGAAGAATATTCAGCTGCAATAATCCGACTGGAAGTTTTTTTAGGTAAGAAAAGAATCATGTTAAATATTTCTCAAGCTGGTATCTGAAAAGCTTCAAAGTTTTGTTGAATATGTTCTTTTTATTGCTTTATCTTTTCTTGTAAAATTCTAGCACATCGAATAAAAAATGCTTGGCATATAACTGATCACCATCGTTTATCAACTATTCTTCATCCGAAATTGAAAAATTTTGACTGCTATATTGATGAAAAAGAAAAATCAATCAATGTAATCCTACCGGCGTTGTCTTCGGACTGCGACAGGGGCCTGCGGCTGTTCTCGAACAGCTGTGGAATGGTGTCCCTGGGTCCGGGAGCCACTTGTCTCCTCTTAGGCTAGCAACCTATTAGGTAGACGTAAATTTTGTGTGCTAACGAAAAGACAAAGAACAAGTGTGCGAATGCACATCAATCAGTGTTCTTCGGTGGATGGAATGTAAGATCATGTTTTCATTATTCAAAACAACAACTCATAATTTAACAACTGAAAAAATACAACATCAAAGTGGCGGCTTTATCAGAAACTGGAATCTACGACACTGGCGTAAAAAACGATCGGCGAATACACTTTCATCTACTCTGGATTACCAAGCACTGACAAAATAAGAACTGCTCATGGTGTGGCAATGTGCATGAACAAAGAATCAACACGTATNTCGTGATTTTAGCTAATAGTCCTTTTTGCTCGTATATTGAAATTATCACTTGATGAATGGCATTGTAGAACATAAGCAATTATCAACTTTTGTAGAAAAAACATTTCTGCATCTTTTGAGACGTGCCGGAACTCGAATGAATGAGCAGATGCAGAGAAAAGTACAAAATACTAAGGTCGCCCTAAAAAACTGCCTTTTTTCCAGGTTTCGGAGGGTGTGTCACTTGTATACTATGCCATTTTTCATAGGGAAGTCAGAAAGAGCTAATATTTTGGATTTGTCTATGGTTTGACTAGACCTTTCATTTGAGATACATAAATCGAAAATCAAAATTTTGTCGGCGGTCGACTTGTTTGGTGGTCTCGCGGACCGTCTCTTAAATATTTTATTTATGCATGAAGACAGCTACAATCTGAGTGTTTTTTTGTACATGCATTTAGGTATTAGTTACTGTGGCATAGCTTTACGATACGTTGAAGAATATTCTCGATTATTTACGTTCATCATTGGTTGTTTTCCATACAATGCAGCTAGTCATTCAGCACAACATCTTCGAGAATTTCTTAATAAAATATTAGAAGAATATAAACTACAACTTGATTCAACATAATTTGTTGTTACAGATAATGAGCCGAAAATGTTGCCAGCATTTCGGGTACAATGTTCTCGCGTTGGTTGTGCTGATCACTATTTGAATAAACAGTTATAACATGCTTTTCAATCAAATCAAATTCATTTAAATAAAAATACAATTGAAAACGTTGATTGTGAATTAGTTCAAAATATTTTAAATCAAGTTAAAAAAGTGGTTTCTTCTGTAAGACATTTACATCAACAACAAAAATTATCTCAAAAATTTCAAACGTATTCTGAAACTCGTTTTGGTGGTGCTATAATTATGCTCGATATTTTTAGAGAGGTTTTTTTTTCAATTACCAGAAGTATTAATTAATAGAAAAACTTTGAATGATTATAATTTGTTTGAAAAAGAACTACTCGATGATATTTGCAACTATCTTGAACCTTTTCAGGAGATACTTGATGCTGTTAGTGAAGATCAACAACCGAGTCTTCATCGAGTAATTCCACTTAGACTATATTTGATGAATAAATGTGAAGTAAAAGAAGAAGATTCAGCTGCAATAATCCGACTGAAAGTTTTTTAGGTAAGAAAAAAAATCATGTTAAATATTTCTCAAGCTGGTATCTGAAAAGCTTCAAAGTTTTGTTGAATATGTTCTTTTTATTGCTTTATCTTTTCTTGTAAAATTCTAGCATGTCGAATAAAAAATGTTTGGCATATAACTGATCACCATCGTTTATCAACTATTCTTCATCCAAAATTGAAAAATTTTGACTGCTGTATTGATGAAAAAGAAAAATTAATCAATGTATTAAAACAAGAATTTGAAAAACATCAATTAATTGATTCTTCGTCGTGCACAAATACATTACATTTAACACAATCCAATGTACAATCTTCTTCACCAGCATCAACAACTAGTACAACACCAAAACGAAAGAACTTATACGTCACAATATTTTGATTCGAAAGTTAATGTTATTTCTCAATCATCAAACCCATATCAAGAAGTTGATGATTATTTAGCTGCTGATTTTAGACAGAGTTTTTTTGATGATAATAATTCTGATGATATTCATATTTTATTATTTTGGCAGGAAAAACAACAATTATTCCCAATATTATCAAAAATAGCAAAAGTAATATGTGCAGTACCAGCTGCCAATACTATTATTGAACGTCTTTTTTCAGCAGCGAAAAATGTTATTACAGAAAAAAAGAACACGTTTAGATTGTGAAAAGATAAACCAAATATTATTTTTACAACAGAATATGCAAACATTAAAACAATTATCAAATAATGATTTTCGTAGAAAACGAACTGTGTCGATGTCATCGACAACAACAGTATCATCTGAAGAATCCACATGGACAGTTGCTAAAAAATCACGTATCGATAATGTCGAAGACAATTTCAATGATTTATATAATAAAGATATTTTCCCGGATAAGTCTATTTTCTTTTTCCTTTATGCTAATGGTTAATATAAACATCTTTCTTATGTCTTTATTTTTTCTTAAAATTTATTAATAAAACTAAAAGTAGCGCATCTTTGTTTATTATATTATATTTCATGAATAAAGCTATTTCTAGATAAGAGTCGAACTATTTGATTGTTGCACTCATATAACTCAGATATTAAGCCAGAAAAAGAAAATAGACTTATNATTGTAAAAATAAATTCAAGCCGCAAGGAATAACAGGTCATGTACGGTCTTTTGCAAGTGACTGGTGTAAGAAAAACAACATACAATGGAACAAAAAGTAATGAAAACGCTTCACCTGGTGTGACACTCGTAAATAAATGACGTGTTTAATTTAAACCAGATCCCTGGAGGGTTAAACACTGAAGACTATGATTAGATCAACAGTGATGGATCTTGCAAACTAGCATCGAATAGAAGCACTAAGACATATTCTTTTTTTTTTTCTTTCATATTGTTTATTTTGGTTACATCGGTATTTTTGTGTTTTTGTTTTATGTATACCATCTAGTTAACTTTTTTGTTCTAAAACTTTTATTTTTTATTTTTTTGTTTTGTCTCACTCTACACCTTTTTGGTATTTCGAGTATACAATACAATACAATACAATCAATGTATTAAAACAAGAATTTGAAAAACATAAATTAATTGATTCTTCGTCGTGCACAAATACACTACATTTAACACAATCCAATGTACAATCTTCTTCACCAGCATCAACAACTTGTACAACACGAAAACGAAAGAACTTATACGTCACAATGTTTTGATTCGAAAGTTAATGTTATTTCTCAATCATCAAACCCATATCAAGAAATCGATGATTATTTAGCTGCTGATTTTAGACAGAGTTTTTTTGATGATAATAATTCTGATGATATTGATATTTTATTATTTTGGTAAGAAAAACAACAATTATTCCCAATATTATCAAAAATAGCAAAAGTAATATGTGCAATACCAGCTGCCAATACTATTATTGAACGTCTTTTTTCAGTAGCGAAAAATGTTATTACAGAAAAAAAGAACACGTTTAGATTGTGAAAAGATAAACCAAATATTATTTTTACAAAAGAATATGCAAACATTAAAACAATTATCAAATAATGATTTTCGTAGAAAACGAACTGTGTCGATGTCATCGACAACAACAGTATTATCTGAAGAATCCACATGTACAGTTGCTAAAAAATCACGTATCGATGTCGAAGACAGTTTCAATGATTTATATAATAAAGATATTTTCTTGGATTAATCTATTTTCTTTTTCCTCTATGCTAATGGTTAATATAAACATCTTTCTTATGTCTTTATTTTTTCTTAAAATTTATTAATAAAACTATAAGTAGCGTATCTTTGTTTATTATATTACATTTCATGAATAAAGCTATTTCTAGATAAGAGTCGAACTATTTGATTGTTGCACTCATATAACTCAGATATTAACCCAGAAAAAACCCTTTTCAATAATTCCTACTTCGACCCCATTTGAGTCAGGATCGGGTTTCGGAATCTGGTGCAGTTCACTAGTGATGAGTGAAACACATATGTAAGATTCAAAGTGAATTATGGATCCTGACCGGTGTAGTCAGTCTTATGAGGATCCCGCTGAATAAAATCGATTTTTGGCAGAAACATCGAAATGTAGAGAAATGCATCGGAAGATGGGTCATCTTCAGATGTTAGAGAATGACTATGAAATTTGTTCTGAGCGCGGCGCTTTTTTGAAAATTTTTCAGGATTTCTGCCATGTTGTACTCGAAGAAGAAGTCTTTTTCGCTTTTTCTGAGAGGGTGCGTTCGACGACGCATCTCGAATGACAGTCAGTCACAGTGTGATTTGAGAGCAAATATTTGTTTTTTTGTTTGGAAGAGCATGCAAAGTTAATCAATTAAAAATTATCCTATCGACTAC